ATGTGGGCTGGTCCAGAATCAGTGTGCATACATCGTCGTGTGTGTGCGTGTATGGAGGACACGACAACTGAAATACTGTCATTGTCAGACTGGCCTAATCCATAATATCGACATTGACACACGAGTGCTGGACCAAAACTGTTCGGTGGCTCGTGAACAGATTTTATCTTGATCTGAATTCGGTACAAGTTCTCAGTATTCTATCCTTGTCAACTGGTCTTGATCAATTTTCTGTTTTCACTCAGACTGATTTGAAAGTCCCAACCTTCCCTTTACTCTTTCATCCGAATGGGAAGTCATGAGACATCAACCAAAACTGGAGCACGAAAGTGCATGGCTATGCATGGTTGTAAAAACTGAAACAGTTAGGGGTGTTATTCCATGAATGACACAGTAATTCTTCTTCGGGTTGTTGACTTCTGGCTACCACTAATAAAGTTTTATTTTATCCATTCATTTTCATTGCAATATCTTTATGCTCTTGTTTGTATTTGATTTGGCCCTAAGTTGAGTTCGATAGCCACATTTCTCTACATCTATTTTTATCAGCCCCCCCCCCACCGGGGCATTCCAATACAATCAATAACTTGTCTTAGCAGTCTATTCATCGTTCTCTCGCATTTCACCGTCAATCGACTTTGCTGCCAACAGTGCCAACGCAGACCAGCCTACATCTACTATTCACATAGCCTTATCGACAAATCATGAACGGCGTTTCCTGTGGTTAATCCGCCTTCATCCATGGCTTCTTAGTCTTCGCTCACAGTTTGTAACTTGTGCAGCCGTTAAACTGTGATCGCTTGAGGTACATCGTTCAACGTTTCTCTGTAGTTGGCACATGCACATACGTTGGCATGCAGAGAGAGAGAGGGACGCACCAAATCAGGTTCAGATCGAGGCTTGCTCTGCTTCGTGGTCTTTGCACGACCATTAAGCCTTAGCCAACATATCACGTCTGGGTTGTTTCTTGAACGCATTTGTTGAGCTACCAGGATCAGTCTTTCCATCGGGATAAACGAGAATGTCTTGGTTTTTCGTCGCTGTTTTTGAGTAGTTGGCAAATGAATCGTTACTGAAGTAAAAAAAATATATGCGCGAAGGCTGAAATCCGTGCCCAAGGGCTGAATTAATACGAGAAGCATGGTAGTCGTTCAACCTCATCTAATAATAATTTATACATAATCGATTGTTTACTATAGAAAAAATTCAATCATTTGAAGGCAATGTCTTCTTTTTCCAAACAGAATTAGGTAACAGTTTATTGATGAAGTTTGCTTTTGAGTTGACTTTTCGATTTTGAAGTGCTTCCAAATCTGACCTCTCTTTCCGATTATTCCTTTTTCTAGATCCTCAGTATAAACTCTGTCGTGGCTTATACAAATCAAGGAGGAGCAAGGTAACTAGTGCGAGTGACTCTTGCCAAAACAGTGATTTGACACCTAAGAAGACATTGATGAACACAGTTGAGGAGCATGAGTTGTACTCGTCAGGTCACCAGTGGTTAAATGAGGCTAGACGTCGCCGGACGAGTGCCCCTGTCTCCGGAATCCACAGTTCAAGTAACTCTCACGATCTTCGACCCCGCTTCGAACTGGCCACACCACTCAAACGTGCTAGGCATGAGGAACACAGTCCGACAGAATCTAGTCTACGCAGTACAAAAAAGGCACGACTAAGTGAACCACAAACGGAACATGTCCGTAGGTTGCAGTCATCGACAAGCATGAAAAAAGGAAAGTTACGATCGAAAATCAAACGTGCACGATGTGTGGACACAGTTCAGTCGGTTAAACAGTCTCTATTGCCGGATCTTTGGCATCCACGTTTGATTGATCAAAAACTCAGCCCTTCACTCCTGTTAGCTTCTGTGGAATCAAAACTAGAGGAAACGAGACGACAAACTTTGGAGTTTCGACGCAATCTGGATGAGCTACGAAAAAAGTTGGATCGAAATCCGGTAAAATCAGTAGGAGCATCAGCATGTGATTCGCTCCAAACAGACAAACCCAATCAGCCGTCAACTTCTGTCACAACCCAGTTTACTTCACAGCACACACCGCTAAGTGACAGAAAGCTGTGGCACCTGACTAGTTTGTTTGATCAACCAGAAGCACCGACTTGGAAGGCGATGTTAGCTATTTGTGGTTTGGATCGCACCCCTGATTCCACATCGAGCATCCACGACCAGTTGATGACACAAATCGAGCAACTGGCGCATTCAGACTCTCGTGTTTCGATTTATTTAATCCTCTTGTCTTGGTTGGAACACTGTTCTAATGGGAAGATATGCGAAAAGCAACCGACATGGGAAACTCTGCTTGATTTATTCAGAAAGAATGGATACAAAAAATTTGCCAATCACTGTGCAACACGAGTGGATAGCATAAAACCTTGGTAGTTTTAGAGCAGACTATCCTCAACTCCTGTGATATAGTTGTACAAATATGTATATAATGCCAAAATACGAAGCTTGTCTTTACTTACACTACTCATGTGTTGGTCTTATTTGTGCAACGGTTCAAGCCTATTCCCAGCACTAGTTCCCATTGGGTCTGGGTGTCTTGATGAGCAAAATAAACAAGTGATGGTTCTATAGGTATCCCAGAATGTCTCACCGATTGTAATTTCCTGTATTTCATATTCATTATTGAACTACTCCGATGTGCGATTTCAGATTTCATTCGATACGTAAGTAGCCGTCCAAGGTTCTGCAGAATCAGCCCCTCGTTGTCTGCCACCGGCTTTCCGTTGAAATCGTCATACCCTAAAAACTGAATGTACATATATCAACGGTCGCCTTTGTGACGTAATGAGTTCGTGTTTTCGGTTTGAACAGTACTAATTTGTACACGGAAGCCTCTATAGATATGAATAAATTTAAATTGGAAGGTGTTAGATACATTTATGATTATTTTTAGCTTTTTGATCTTTGAATAAACAAAACCCACGACTGCTGTGTTAGTTTAAGTTCAGTCTGATGATAATGTTAAGAACACGAACAAACATTAGATACAAAAGTTAAAGTTGCTGATGATACACTAGTCATCTACGCCTTTTCCCCTAAGCTTTAGCCAAAACCCGCAATCCTTTAGCCTTGATCCGTAGTCCTTTAGCCTCGACGGATAAACTTTAGTCTTGTTGCTGTGGGTGAGTCAGGTAAAAAAGGTATCGGAATATCCTGAGGTCCACAAATGTTGCATAAAGCTTGACTTGACTTGGAACTTTTTATTTTCTAAAAATATTGAATTTGCAAACCTCGGCTAGGAAATGAGGTCTGGTGATCTTGTGCTGCAAAGTTGATCGTCGTAATGCAGTCCCACATATTGATTGAAGAAGGTTGAAACGATACACCCGTGTTGTCAAACCAATTGGCATATCTCATGTGACTTCAGTGTCTTTAATGAACCCGTTTCTTTCTAAAGTTTTGCCGTTCGCTTTGCGTGTGTCGAGAGCCCAGCAACGAAATTGTTTCTGTTTAACTTCAAACCGAAGCTTGCTTCTTTGTTACTAATTATTTTTGTAATGATGATTTCGTGTACATTCCGCCAGAGTACAACGTATTCTTTCGAGATTGTCATGCTGGCCGTTGTAAATAGATAAGAATAGTCGAGTTTCATTTCCTTTCTATACAAAATGGAATAGCACAAATAATTTTCAGATAGAGAGCCGATCGAATGCTGCTTTAGGAAGCTGGCGATTTGATTCGAACATCTGACCTCTAGGTTAGCGAAATTGTCTCTTTTGCCGCTGCAGTCGCGATATTGAGATGCTAGCGCTGTACCACTCCACAGTTTTACTTGCTGAATTTTTGTCCCATATCAGAGCTATACGGAAGAGTACCATACCACTGTTTCGATCCCACTCAAACTCATAATCGTAACATATATTTTACGTTCCAACCGGGAATTAAATCACTAACTTATTAGCTAGCAACGGGTCTTTTTGTATTGTTTGCAAGGACTAATAAAAATGAGCATCGCAGTGGATAATAGGCCTACATTCAGAAAATAGTCGTTCAACATGTGAGAGTTTCAAGGTTTCCACTGTAAACTCCAATGTTTGTGATTTGAATCTCAAGAGAGGGAGGCAGGGAGGGAGAGGGTCACAGTACGAACCTTGCTGACGGCATCAAGTATGGGAAATCTCTCTATTAGTCCCGTTTTAATCGCTACAGCACTGTGTAGAAGCCAAGCGCTGAAGTCCTGTGTCACAAAATGACTGATGCACAGAAGCGCAACCAGTGGGGAGTGGGGGTGGGAGGACGGTGTGCAACAATCGTAATACAGATCATGGAAATTTGTGATATAGAAAGCGCTGCTATACAATACGAATCTAATCACAAGTAGAGAGCTAGGTGAAATCAACTTCACAGTCCCCTATCAAAATACTATAAAATCAAGCTAACGACTGGGGTGATTAGACCAAACCAGCATATCCAAGATTCGAGTGCAGCGGTCTTCTACTACCGGTCCTCCGAACTGAACTGGTTGAGATTACGCTCAATGAGAGACATCTTATCTTGGTGTTGGCTGGATCCCAGAGCCGGGAATTTTGTTTACTGAGTTTTGGTAACCAGACTGGGCAACGTTATCAGTGCGTCTTCGTATTGTTCTTTAACTTCTAGTGAATCAAGTCTTCTTTTACCAACCCCATAGGTGATTGGTGCTTCGTCCGTCCCGCATTACTTACTGGACCGGATCTATTACTACGCACTTTCGGTCGGAATAAAGTGATTGCTCCACAAACTAACAAAAGTACTTTTTGAGTGAGTGACCGAGCAAGGGAGGTTTCGTTAGAGTAGGGTCTATCCGTTCTTCCCCTCGGGAAGGTTATGACCTTGACCGTTGATCAAATGAGCTATAGACGAGAATTAACTAACCCGGCAATGATTGACATCGGTCGGTCGGCTGAGAAGGCGAGTCCCGCCAAGATGGATTGATAAATCGGTCACCTTGACCGGACTTAAATGTTGACATGAGTTATTGTTGAGGCGGGTTCAACCTAGGCCTCCAATAATTTAGTGGGCGAATTCCATTAGGGCCGAGGTTCCATCGAATATCATCACTTCTTATGAACCAAGTGTGATCGCCTACATGGTTTTTACATTAAACGGCACAGTTGGCAAGAGGTATAACAATGGCACTCGGCTACAGAGAAAGAATTAACAGTATTTCATCTGAATAGGAAGACGCCCCCGAAGCATCAGTGTGGTCGGGGGTGGATGCCTTAGGTTGCGACTGGTTACCATTTCGTTGTGCCTCACTAAATGCTTACTCATTTACGACCAAGTGTTCCAACTAGCTTCCATTGAGGGAGCCGTACTCACCGCCGTCGCCTAGGGGGATATTACTCTTCATAAAAAGAACAAGAAAACTTAACGTCCGGTGATATAACCGGATCAGTAAACCGCCGAATCGTTGGCTTAAAGTTCTGATTGCAAATCAACAAGGAAAAAACGTAAGAATAACATCTGCAGGATCCTGGTTGTGGCAGTGGTCAACAGCTTGATTGGATATCGATGATCACACTTCTGGTACTCCAGTAATAGGGACTTGGAGTTAGGCCTACTATTCAAGCGAAGAATCTCCACTTCTTCCTCTGTATTCAATTTTTAATGTTTCTGTTTTTGGTAAATTATCTTTTAAGGTCAAAAAATCTGGGCAACTGCATTTGGTCAAAAACAAACAGTAGGATTCGAGAGAACTTCGCTTTCAATGGAATTTTACTAATTAGGCCAATGAGTGTCCACTTTGAACCCGTTCATGTGGGGATTCATGACCACAGTATTTCCCAGTCTCTTAAAACAAAACTCAAAGACCACTTGTAGTGATTTAGTGATAACCAGTCGTGTATTCTTGATTTGGTTGATTAATTAATCACAAAACTCATTCATCGCCACAGTAGCTGATGCGTTAACTTCACTAACGGGATTCCAGACATACTTCATCATTCAATACGCCCTGATTCATCTCGTTGCGTTTTGATCCGTCCAAATGGACATCCTCTTGATACCTACCTTCTCGTGTAAACATTTATAAAAATTCCCCTTTACCCTACCTGGCCCGACTCCTAACCAAAAAAGGATCAGGCTGTTAATGAATTACTTCAGAATTTGTGTGCATACTTCAATGGTATTTTCACATTATGTGTTTTCTGAATTTGTATATTTCATTCTGTGTGACGACCAACATACATTTAAACTGAAATGTAAGCATATACGCTTACCTAAGTCATGTGACCATGAACCAGGTCGATATCGATCGCAACAGACAGCCCCGGATATAAATATCAAGTTAAGATTATGCTCAAGTGTACATTTATTCCTTTTTTAAGTAAGTATCACATTATTCCTGCAAGTCAGTTGGCCTAGTGCTAATGTGATCATTCCAGCAATTGCGGCGAAAACTCCATGGGTGGTAACATGCGAGTTCCCATCAGAATCGGAAGTACGAAGCTGCATTCAATCATTGAAGAAAGGAAAGGTTGCGGGACCTGATGGGTTTCTCCCTGTTCTTTACAAGGTGGGCGGAGATTCTCTTGTCGACTCAATTACTAGCTTACTTCGCAACATTTGGACGGAGGAGCGTAGCCCTTTGTCCTGGGGTGAATCGATGATCGTCCCTATTTTTAAGAAGGGATCACGCGACGACTGTGCTAACCATCGTGGGATTAGTTTAGTTCCGATAATCACAAAAGTGTTGACATATGTGATACTTCGCCGCCTGGCACCCTTAAGGGAGAGGAATATCCGCGAACAACAAGCCGGATTCCGACCAGGTCACGGGTGCATCGATCAAATCTTCACTCTGCGTCAATTCCTCGAACTGCGTCACACACATTGTCGGCCAACAATCGCAGTGTTCCTTGACCTAAAAGGAGCCTTCGATCCAGTTGACCGTGAAGCTCTTCTGGGGTCCCTGCTCCGCAAAGGAATGCCGCGGAATTATGTAGACCTATTGTGGTCGTTGTATCTGCATACTTCTGGTAGCGTAAGGGTCTACGGTGGGCTAAGTAAATCGTTCGAAACCAGGAGC